CAGGAATCTGGCTGAGAGGGGAGGGTGATCTGAAGAGGCTGATGGCACGGACACAGGGAGAAAAACGCCGTTTTTCTGTCCTCTGCCTCTGCCTTTTGTACCAGCATTGCCCAGATACTCCCTGCAAATGTTGGGCGTCTCATCGTGCTGCCCCAAATTAGAGGCTGTGAGTGGGAGGACTGGAGCGAGGGGTGCCCCACTGAGTCTTCTTGTTCGCGTGGAGACCCCTCTCCAGGCTGACCAGGCAGGTTTTCTGCCTGCCTTGCCATACCATACACTCCACCGTGGAGAAAAAGGCAATTTCGCTATGTGTTTAGCAGTAATAAAAATCTGCTGTAAGAACTGACTGGACTTGCAGTGTTGAGTGCTGTAAGACAAGGACTCGGAGGAGACCTGGGTGCTCTCGGTAGCTGCTCATGTCCATGGGACCTCAAGGCATTCATTTCACATCGCTGTCCTTTAGCTTGCAGATTTTATGTACGTGGGGCTCCCGTTTCTGCTGTGGTGAAGCGTGCTGAGATGTCGGTGGAACCGATTTACTCTACAAGCGCAGAGTGGCTGTGCTTTGCTGTTGTTAATGCTGGTCTAAGTGTGGTACAAATTTTGGCAGGTTTTCTCTTCTATTACCACGTCCTTCACCGCCCCATGCTGGATCAGCATATCCACTCCCTGCTGCTCATCGCCATATTTTCAGGGGCCTGCAGCATCCTGCTGGAAGTCTTCCTCCGGGATAACATAGTCCTGGAGCTGTTCAGAGCTGGCGTCACCATTGTCCAGGGAACGTGGTTTTGGCAGGTCAGTAAAACCTTCTTTCTCCTGTGGAGCAGAGCGCTGAGGCAGGGGCGAAATGGGAAAGGGAAGATGTACATCACACATCAAACAGTTTTCTCTAAAGAATAATTTTGCAAGGCTCACTTCATAAATGGATCATAACCCAGCATGAAAATTTACTTACCACAGGTCATCTCTGATGACTGCTACTGCTGAAATAGCTGTTTGTCTTGGCTTATAGCTTCTCTAGTGGGGGGAAGAGAGTACTCACAGTGAGCAAGCAACATTTTACAGTACCTAACAGCCAAGTACTAATTGCTTGATGTGTCTAATGCACCCTACAGCACTCCCTCTGGTTTAGAGGAAAGACGCAACCCACACCACGCAATAAAACGGCTGAGTAAAGATGTGGCCATCTGATTGCTTTGGCAATAGCTTGAGAAGCAATGAAATTAGTTAGAGATAACTGATCCCAAAACTAAGCCACCAAAAAGAAATCGAGAACCTTCTCTTTTTCCGCCACACCGGCCTTTATTTGGAGATTAAAACCTGGGCTGGCTGAGGTCGTAAACCAATAAATTTGGCGTTCTTAAAGGATGGGTTGGTATCTGCAACGCAGAAGGACAAACGTGTCCAGATCTTGTACAGGAGAAGAGAGACCCAAGGCACAGGCTTGCTTGGAGTTGCCTCCTTTTGGAGATGACCATCCAACAAAACTCATTCTGGAGCGTGTCAAGCCCAACCATTCCTGCAAGCCCGCGGCTCGGCAAGGAACGGGGGGCTCATTGCAAGGCCAAGCGTGCCAGGTTCAGGCACCCAGGCCGTTCTCAGCACTTTCCTCCCAGAAAAAACGCACCTCACCACCCCCAGTTGGCCTCCAAAATACCCCGTTGAGGTTGGAAAGCAGTAACCCTATTTGCGACTGACCCAGGGTCATGCATGAAAGTCATTGCAAAGCTGAGATTTGAACTCGGGTCTAGTGAGTCCAGCGCTGTCTTGGTAAAACACAGACTCAAGCCCCTTGGTTACAGTGTGGCTCACGGTAATAACAGAAGTGGAGCAGAGGGTGCCAGAGTGGCTCAATATGCTCCCTTCTCCCCAAAATAACAGATGGCTTCTTCCATCTAGATCGGGGTCGTGCTGTTCCAGCCATGGGGAGGCCCGATGTGGGACGAGAAAGACCACAACAACGTCATGTTCCTCACCATGTGCTTCTTCTGGCACTGGGCAGCCGCTGTGTTCATCCTGACTATAAACTACACCCTCGCTTTCTGGTACGGCTGGGGCAGAAGCAGGGCGGGCAGGCAGCTATGGGGATGTCTGGAGTGAAGGCACAGTGCTAAATATCCGCTCCTGGAGTACAAAGTCGCAGCTGAATAAGCAAGTTTTAGAGCGCAGCGACGGGTATGTGGGTTTTCTTTGTCGAGCGCCCAGAATGCAAAACAGTGTCAGCGAGAGGCGCACGCGTCAAACAGGGAGAAGTCAAACCACCGAGCCCGCCAAGCTGCTCTTGGAAGTCACACCACTTTTATTTCCCTGCCCTGGGTGAAAGTCAAACTGTAATCCAATAGAGAAATCAGAGCGCCACCAGGAACGCGTGACACTTGGCCTGCCGTCCTCCCCTCTCTTCCAAGATTGCCTAGCAGCTGACAGTCACTAACGTGTTAGAGGTGCAACATCACGCTGATTGCTAAAGCATTGCCAGCCCCCGGCACGGCTTTTCCAAGGTGTTGGGAAGGGGACGGGGGTGTTACCCCATCTCAGCGCGGCTCCTGCAGCCTAAACGCCTCCGAAGGCCGCTGCGTGGGCTGCTGCGGCGCGAGAGCAGGCTGTGCAGGCAAAGGGCTTTGTACGGACTCAAAAGGAACAAAACCCAAGCATTTGAAAGCCTCTGTAGCGGTTTCTGTCCCTCTGCGTATTTCTGCTGTCTCACTTTGCCTCCCTGAGCAATCTGGTGACGGGCACTAGGTTCGGGGCTTGGTTAACTGCGGTTCGCTCTTGTGTTGCAGTTGCCTTCAGAGGTGCAGGAGAATCGGTGGAGAACCCTACATCGGCCTGGGAGTCTGGAAGCAGAAGGGCGACACGAGTTCCCACGCTGCTTTCTTAAATGGGTCCGATGAAGAGTGAAGAGGGTGCAGTCTCATTTTGCAAATAGTTAAAGAATCAGCTTTCTAAAAGAAAAATCGAAGTAAATATTTCTATTTTAGAACAAGCAAGAAAGGTGCCACCACTGAGGCGCGTGGATGGTAGCTACCCTCCGCCCGTGCCATCCGACGCCTGGAACCAGCACCGCCTGCGATGATTTTTAGCGTCAAAATTCAGTGCAGAGATTGAGCGTTGCAAGATGACTTTGCCTTGCGGGTTCCCACGCGTGTTTGTGCAGCGATGGACGGCACCCTTCGGCCAGCTGAATTTTCAAAGCGCCTCGTGGTTTGACCCGCAGTGATTGAGGTCAGAGCAACCTCCAGGCTGAGGTCGGGTACTCTGACACCTCAGCACCAAGGGAGCGTCCCAAGGAGGAAGAGTGAAAGCCTGTTCGATGCTAGGTTGCATCACATTTGCAACAACCAAGTCTGGTCGTGCACAATACAAATTCGATACCAAAGCTTGGAACTAAAGGGGCTTTTTATAATTTATGTTCACTTAAAGGCTAAAAGAGACAAGAAATGCGAAATAAAAATCCTCATTGAGTGGATGTCCTTAAATTTAAGCGTGATAAATCATGCAGGGTGTAACGATAGCTTGGACAAAGCCAGCCCTCAGGCCCGGAAAGCCCGAAGGCCTGTAAGAGGCCTGACTAAGCAGCAGGGATTCATAAAGTGTCGCAGTTTGCTATTGAAAATAAACCCCAAACTGGGGGAGTTAAATGAAAGAGGCAGTTTCCCGCTTTTTATGAGCTGGAGCAGAATCACTCGACTTACCTACAGCCAGCATCGTTCCTGGGACCTCTTACAAAGAAAGTTGCAAAGAAAAGTTAATGCTGCCCAGGGCACTAGAGAAACGTGCTGACCACATTATGTTTGTTTGTAGCCTGCCCTTACCAGTTGCAAAGGGAGACTGGAAATGTCACTGCCTAGATAGGAGGAAAACGTTCCCGTAGTGAGCATAGGGATGAAGGAAAAATATATAAAACAAACCCCAGCAGCACAAACCGAAGTGCACCTGTTGAGATCTCAAATCCTGAGGCGGGAGGGAGATGTTCGGCAGCTATTCAGTCTCCTCGCTAGCTGTGCGATGGGGAGGATGAAGCGGGTTTTGTGTGTGTGTGCTCGTGCCTATAACGGCAGAGCAGCAGTTTGCCAGCAGGGCCAAGTATTCGTGACGGTACACTCACGCACCGGGAAGGCAAGGCTGGTATTTTAACACCCTTTCTGCTTGTGCAAAGAGCCTAGTGAAGGCCGAGGGGCCTGCAATATGAACTTCATTGCTGACTAACCATGCTATAAAGACTAACTAGCTTGCCTCGAGTGCCAGCTTTCCTGTGTTTTTATTTCCTCTTTCCAGCACTGAGCAGATTTATTTTGCGGCGCCGGGTATCAGGAGGTGCAAACAGGCTCGGTGCACAGAGAATTAAGAAGCAGAGGGATACATCTCTGTAAATCCATCTCATAAACGCCATGCAATTAAGTCTCATGAACTGTGACTGAGGAACACAACAAGATTTCTGCAGATCCTTGTTCTGCCAAGAATGCACTCGGATTTCTTTTTTTCTAAACGGCGTGAATTCTGCTTGCTCTTACAACAACACGGCAGCCGGGGCGAGCGTTTCTGCAGGCCGTTGCCTCACAAAGAAAACCGTACTTGGAAGGTGACAAGCCTGCAGGACGAGAAGCCGGCTTAACTGAACGGCGGAAAGGCCTCGCGCGGCGCTACGAATTATTTCTGGTCATTTAAAAAACGAGCATCGCCATTCCCGGGAAACAGCCACATGAGGGCAGCAGCCGGTAGGAAAGCTGATGCTGAAGCGGCAGGACCGCGCTCAAGGCTGGCGAAGGTTGCCATCACCTTGCAAACACCCTCCTCCTTTTTGTCCAAAAGAGTCAAGAGCTGTTTGCATCTGAGGGGATACAGATTAAGGCTGACCTTGCTTTTTTGAAAACGCGCGTTGCAGTTGAGCGTGAAGGTGAGAAGGGGCTTGTTCGGTTCTTCGGGGCTGCGCTTGCTGCTGTTAATCGAGCCGCAGCCTCCTTTCACTCTGAGATCTCCTCCAGCGTTTTCTTTATCCCTTGTCACCGTGTGGCCACAAAACAGTTTTCCCCTCTGCAGCACCCACAGCTTGGCATAGCTTCTTCTCTGCCTCATTAACTCCCTCGTCCTGCCAGCATCTTTGGACTGTCAGTATAATGCTTGCTAATTTGTTTTCCTCCTTTGGAGCACATTTTTTTCCCCCAGGTATGAAGGTCAGCAACGCAGAGATACAGCCTACGATTCAGTGAAAAGAAAACACAGTTGATGGTCCCTTTTTGAGGAACCAGGTTTGAGATGAGAATTAAGGACTTTCATTTCAGCAAAAGAAAAGTTTGCAAAACGGCTCTAAGCACTAAAGCAAGGCCGCAAAGGTTGCTAATTGCCAGAGCATGGTAAGGGGTCCAGAGACCGCCTATTAGAAGGTGAGTTACATCAACCAGGTGAAGCCACAAGACGTCCTCACATTTATTTCTTATGCCACAGCAACACCAAGATAGGTCCTAAAGAGAGTATTGCATTTGACGCAACCTTAGCGTCATCTGGGAGGCACGGGCCAGGTTGCTCACAGTATAAACTGAATTATCAGCTAGTTTCCCGAAACTTTGTGCTAAACCTTCCAAGCACAGAGCAGACTACTGGGCTTGCTTACAAGATGAGCCAGCTTTGAAGGACCGTAGTGTGTGGGGTGATGCCTTGGGCTTTGTCTCGTGCAACGCCAGCCTGATGTTTTCGGCCAGCGTCGCTCAAGGGTGGGGGCTGTTGATGCTCCTGGAATAAGTAACCTGCTCATCTAAGGTGGGAAGGAGACAGCGTTTGTCCTGAAGGTAATAACTAACCCCGGGGAGGCTGACTCACCTCTGCAGCCTTACAAGAACCCAAACAAGAGCCCCCAAAGCAGCCAAATATCCTGGCACCCTCCTCTTCCTCCTGCGAAAAAGCCAAGCCCTTCATCAGAGGCTCTGGCACGGACCGTCCGTGAACCACTCATTTCATGTTTTTGGCTAGCGATAGGATCTGCCGCTGTCGTCGTTCACGGGCACATTTGTGTAAGGCCAAAATGACAGCGTAGGAAGCGGAACAAGCCCTGCCTATGCTTATCCCACCTGTTTCACCTCCCTCTGTCGCCTGTTTATGAAAGCCCGTGTTAGTAATCGTCATAATAATGCCTTGCACTTCCCTAACAACCATCCATCTGCAGAACTCAAGCTGCTGGCAAACCTTTAATTAGATTGTGCCTCCCACCAGCCCCAGGAAGTAGGCAAACATTATCGCATTTTTTTCATTAGCACCAAGGCTGCTGATGAACCTTCAGGGAGAGGATGTTGCAGTTAAAGCTGAGGGGAAAAAAAAGAAAAAGAAGAAAAAAGAAGCAATATCAGATGCGATTCAGCATTTAACTGGAGAACATTAGAGCGGCTCGAGTAGGTCAGGCAACAGATCCCCCCCCGCCGGCTCTCCCAGGGACCAAGAGGAGAGCAGGCGTGCAATGATGTTATCCCATAATACTCTCCCACGGAGCGACACTTTGCAGCTAAGGAACTGTAAGCGCCGTTCAACGGAGTCGCATCCATTCATGCCAGCGGTGGTTTTACACAGAGCTGGTGTCGTTGACCCACGCTGTGATTTTGGGGGTTTTGTCATCAGCTTTGCAGGTGTGCGACTGTCAGGCTACTGTTCCCAAGCACTGGTCACAGTTTCGCCCCTGTTTTTATTGTAGGAATAGTTTAAAAGAGTGGAGCCCCCCTCTTTCTCTCACCATTTCTTACATCTACAACTTTTCTCACTTTCTGTCGTGCATCAGACAGGCGCGTGCTTTAACAGCAGTCACTATTTCATAGAAACCTTTCTCTGCACGCTTTACTCATTGCTGGCCCTTTAACTCTGCAGAGAAAAGCACCTCCAGCCTGGGAGCAGATGCTTTTCAGCTGGTCCTCGTTTTCTCCCCCCTTCCCCACCTTGCCTCTTGCTGCTCTCCCGAAAGTCTCGACTTGCCCTGTTTGTGCAGTTTGTTTGTGCAAAGCTGCCTTTTGGGGAAGTGGTTTGTAGCACGGGGTGTTTGTCCGCAGTGTGTGTTTGTCCAACGCTTGTAGAAGAGCAAAGTGGCCTGCAAAAGGGTCACTGATGGTGCTGTTGCTCTCTTTCTGAAGGCGACGTTGGCTGGTGCTGCACAGGTCAGGTAGGCTTTACTTGCTGTATTGCTTTGGGGGCTTTCTGCAAGGAAGCACTGCTCCGGGAGCTTAGGAAAATTGCTGTTTCAGCTTTGACACTGTTGTGCTGATGCCCTGCAGGATCCTGAAGCTTCAGTTTGGGTGAAGTTATGGGTGTCTGTAGAAGCCCCTGTGCTCCCCTTAGCTTACAGGAGCTGCCTGCTTTGGTTTTGGAAGCGCTCAGCCCCACGCGTGCGGAGGGGAGGAGGCTCTGGCAGCCTGAGGTTGCTCCTCGCTTGCTGTTTCCCCAGCACAAGCAGGAGGCTTGGTTGAGGGCTGCATGCCTCTCGCCTGGACCCTCTCTGCGTTTTTGCCTCCTCGGCCCGTGGGTGCTAGGGTTGCTCCCAAAGCACCGATGGAGGTGAAGCAGCCCGGGAGCTGCTTGAGAAATGAGCTGGTGGCAGCAATGGGCGTACGAGCTTGGCACTGTGCCGGGGCCGTAACAGCAGCACTGTCCTCTCCTTTGCTTTTCTTCCTGCCTCCTACTGTTGCTTGCCACCAACCATGCAGAGATAATGCAAACACATAATGCAGAGATAGTGCCAACTCATCTTCAGGGGGAAAGGAGGCCATCCTCCTCCTCCTCTTCGTCGTCCTCCTCCTCCTCTTGGCTGCTGTGGGCTCTGAAACTCTGCATGCAAGCATCTTTTACAAGGCCAGGCCCCTGTAAAAGGTTCGTTGTGTAAGTGACAGTAGGGGTCAGAGACTTCGGTGCCTCCGACCGAGCCCAGCCAGGCTGGGTGATGCCGCAGTCCTGTGTTTTCTTGGCTCTTTTCCCAGTCATCCAAAAAATAACTTAATAACTGAATAGATGTGGTTACCATGGGAACAGGAGTTGGTTGCTCTTCCTGATTTTGTGGCCAACGCTAGGAGACTTTTTTAATAGCAGACATGAGGTGCCCTGGTTGTGAAAGGCGGTTGACTCAGAGGGCTTTGAACTGGCCTGCAGGATGTTCAGCTCTAAACATCCTGTCTGAGAGACACCTCCCCGTGCTGCTTGTCCCTTTATCTGCCACTTCTGAGTAATAACTGGTCCTTGCTGCTCGCATCTGGAGTGGGAGAAGTTGCAGGTAAACTCCTCTTCTGCCTTTCTTTCCCCATAGAAAGAAATACATTGGTGAGTGTCTGCATGGGCCAGATGTGGCTTCCTGAGCAAGGGCAGAGGCAGGGCTGAGCAGGAGAACTGATCTCCGAGAAACTCGGGTTTTCTTTAATGATGGCTCACAATTAGATGGGTTGAGGTGGCCCTGCTGAAGACAGCCTCCTCGCAATTGCAGACAGCATCTGGGTGTCCGTGGCTCTGTCTTTAACCCTCCTTTTGGAGGCTATCGGGTTTTGGAGCTTTGTGATGGCCAAGGGTTTCCTGGAGAACAGAGGGCTGGTGGGCTTGGTCCTCCGCTGTTGGATGAGGACCGTGTGTGCAAGAGAGACTTGCCTGGTCAGCTACCCAGTGAGGGCAGAGGAGGATCTAGGAAGAGATATTTGGGTGAAGACTCTCCAAAATCTGCTGCCAGGTCCTGGATTTGCCTTGTACCTTCAGTCTGACCAGCTTTTTGGCGTGTGGACAGGAACTGCAGCTGGCCATCCTGGATCCCTGCTGCCCTATGGTGATGCTTGTTCTCCTTGCCCAGCTGATCAGAGCACCCATGGGTGTTTGTAGGAGATATCCACGTGTCTGTGATCTCCCTTCTGCCCTGCGTCGGTGGGAACAAACCTCTGCGTCGGGGCATACCAAGACCTTCCCCCTTGCCAGGCAGAAGGGCGTTCAGTTTGAACAGGAATCGGTGGTTGTGCTGTTTCGCTGGATGGGTGATGGAGCTGAGATGGCTCAGGAAAAGCGGGGGAGACGCTGGAAATGGGGCAGCAACGTCTTCCCTTCTCAGAAAGTCGGTGCTGAGCAGCGGGGAGCACCGCGACTTGTCAGCGCAAGGGGCTGTAAGGAGAGAAGGCAGTTGCCTTATGACTATTAAGCAAAAGCATTGTAGCCTGGAAGCGACGGAGAGAGAAGGGCACCTCAGGTAATAACTTCTGACTGGGGCCATATTTCAAGGCTTCTGACAGACCAGCTAGCTCACAGTAAAAAAAAATAAATAAGTAAATAACCAGAGCGAATCTCCTAAACCAGCAGTCTGTTCCAGGGCTGCAGCTCACTCGGCGCTTAATCAGATTTATGTGAGCATGTACTTAACCGCTGGAGCTAGGAAAAGCCCGTGGGCAAGATGCATCAGGTTTGCCCTCAGCGGTTGAGGGGCCGTGGGCGCATGCGGGGGCTCGTTTTGCTGCGCCTCCGATCTGAGCGCTATGCGCGTGGGCTGCTGCTTGGAAACGTGTCCAGTTTCTCTGCAAAATGGTGGCTGCTTCTTAAAAGAAGCCATTTCTGGGGTGGGCTAGAGGCGAGCGTCCCCTTGACCAAAGGGCGAGTGCGGGGTATCTCCGCTGAATCCAAGATGCCCCAGAGCATGCTCTAGGCGTGAGTGCAGCAACAAAACGTGGCCAGAAAGAGCCAAATATACAGCTCGTGCTTTTGCGATCGCCGTGTAAATCTGTTGGCTTCCATTGCTTCCTTCCCCTTTGGCATGGTGGAGAGCAGACCCCGAGGGAAGGTGAAGAGCCACGTTCTTGGGGCAGGAAGCAAAGGGGTCGCGTGAGAACTGTCTGAAACCTTGCAGAATGGGGCTGCCGAAAGGTTATAAAGCAACAGGGTCCCCCACAGTGTAGAGCAGGGCTATTATACTGGGGGAGGGATGGTGAGGATAAGAGACCCTAGGGACAGTTCTGAAATGGAGCGAGTGATTTTGGGGGTTGTTGATAACAAAGACAAAGGCAGGACACGTGGTGAGCGTAAGGGTGACGGATCCTTAGGTTAAAGGTGGCTGCCGATGGTGCTCAGAGCAGCCTCTCGAGCTGCAGGTGGAACGCGCTGGTTCTCATTTCCAGTGCCCGGGCCCTGGGAGGCTGCTTCCTTCCTGCTCTCCTACTCCTCTCCTCCAATTAAGGATGTAAAATTAACCCTCCTGTTATGTATCTTGATCAGGTTAAACTCCTGACTGCAGCTTCAGGCTGCTGTCCTTGCGGTTAAGTCCCTGGAAGACAATGGTCTTTGGTTAAGTATCGCACAACTGTACAGTTTTAAATGTATTTCAGTAGTGTTTATTCTTAGTCGCTTTAGCACGTGGATATCTGTGAAATGAAGATGTTTGCCCTGGACGAGGTGTCCAGGTTGTAATCAGCGAAGACATGGGCCCTTCTGGGGCGTGTGTCATCTCACCCTGATGTAGACATCCAAAATACAGCAGAAAGCCATAACTGATCCCTAAACGAACCCCTGGGATAGGGCATTTCTCGTCTCCCTGAAAGGCTGTTTAGTAGACTTCCCTCCTGAGGAGAATCATTTACCCAGGGTAAATAGTGTTCAGTCTTGCCCAGATTACCTGCATCCTGGAGAAGCAATGGGTGACAGCAGGCTCCAAATCCAGACGCCGCACTTGGCTCGGGCTTTCCCAGCTCAACCGTGCTGGGACAAGTCAACCGACTTCTGCGCTGCAGTCCAACCCTGACCAGGGAAGTCTTGCAAAGCTCTCCCTTACCAGAGGCACTTGCCACACCAAGTCCTACCCTAATTTTGCGGCATCTAATTACTTTCTAGTGTGGGAGGACTTGGAGAACGTGCTGGAGTTGTTCATCCAGGCTTGGCAATTTCCTTTGGTATTTATAAACACAGTAAGGATGTGATTTGTGATGCAAGGGACTCCTGATGTAAGCTGGACTTGGTGTGGTAGCTTTTCCGGGGATGAGTAATGCTTTCTTCTGTGTAAATCAAAGTTGTGGAAAAGGAACAGAAAGGCTGCGAGGGAGGGAGCGAGCCCTTCTCTAGAGACAGAGGTGTGCAAAGGGCAAGTAGAAAGGCCTTGCCAGAAGAAAGACGACCATCCCAAGGTAACATCAAAAGCCCAGCCCGCTAACTCCTAGAGTTGCTTGCTCATTTCTATGCTTGCTGCTCTTTCTTGAAATTTTTTTCAACATCCTGAGTATGTGCTTAAATCCTTTGCAGGTTATAACTTTCCAGGCAGCAGCAGACACACTGCTGTACACCACTCCTTTCTTTTCTGTTACTTGCTGTCTAGTGGCATCGGTCTGGCTTAGCACAAAAGCAATTTTCCTTCCTCTAGGCTTTGAGCTCCTTGCCTCTGCGCATGAAATTTCCTTCCCTTGTGTCAGATCACTGCTCGTGTGTGACGTGAAGGTCGTGTGGAATAAGCACAAAGCTAGTTATAGAAAGCTGCTATGCTCTCCTCCACGTGCACGTGGTGAACCTTGCGCTCTTGCATCCGGGGCAGAGGGACACTTCTGCCAAACACCAGCTGCCTGCTTACCTGATTAACTTCTCTTCCTGGGCAGCCTATGAGGCCTAGCAAAACCTGGGCTAGCTGGGGTTGCTGAATGCTCTGGCAGGATTCACACAGTGTTAATTATCTAGTTTGAAAGGCGTTTACTCTTGACTAGCAACAAATTTGATGCGAGTCCCTCTTCTAAAAACTCCTGGCTGCCACGCTTTCTCAAATGTCAACGCATTTTCTCTGGCCCAACGGAGGTCCTGGTGATTGTACGCTGTCAAAGTCCAGTACTCTCACGCTACTCATCCAGTGGCAGCTTCTCCCTGGTGACCTCACATCTCTGGTGTTACCCTTCTGCAGCAGACAGAGCTAGTATCTGCTGGGGTCTGTTGGGACGTGGCTCCCTGGGGAAACCTCGCAACTGAGGGGCCTGAAGTCTCTCCCGCGCCGATAATCTCCAGGCGCTGTTTGTCCTTTCAGGCACAGCGAGCAGCAAGTGAGCCAGATGCCATCAAGTTTCAATGGCAATGCCCTCCGGGGCACCTTCTTCTTCATTTTTGGTCTCTGGTGGTCTGTGAAATATCCTCTGAAGTACCTCAGACAGAAAGCGAATGCTGAGAATCAGCCAAGCCGTGGTGTCCAGCGCTTGGAAGTCCTCGAAGGGACAGTCAAAGCTTTCTTTGCTCTCGCAGGTAAGGACTGGTGAGTCTCTGCCCCAACATCTACCAGCACTAACGAGGCAGCGGTACCATGCTGCAGCCGTTCTCTCTCCAGGGGCTGGTTGCGGTGGGAAATGGCTGTGTCTGGTCTGGAGCAGCCCGGAGGCATGCTGGCAGCGTGCTCAGCGCAGGGGGAGTTTGCTACAATTCCTCTGGATGATGCTGGACAAACGTCCCTCCAACCTCCCCTCCCCAAAGAAACTTTTGCCTGCCAGCCTATCCTTTGCTCCCTTCGTGTAAAAGGAAAAGTATGACCTTTCTGCCCTCCTTGCCTAGGGATCCTGGCTGAGCAATTTGTTCCTGCTGGTCCCCATCTGCTGCTGTACAGTCCTGAGACCCACAGCTGGACAGATCTAACCCACTGGCACTACACAACCATGTATTTGTTCTTCCTCCTCTCCGGCATCGTGGAAGTTGTCTCGCATTCCCCACTCAAGCTGCCTGTTGGGTTAGATCGACTCTCGCTGTCCATGGCTCTGCTTATTGAAGGTGAGTAATACGTGTTACCCGTGGGCATATAGGAAATGCTGGGGGTCTTTGAGAGTCTTTAGAGATGTGGTAACATGCAGTTTTGACTCGTCGTTTGAAGGACACACAATTGTGTTTGGAACAGCAGCTCCGGTTTTGTGGTTGAGCCCACCTAAATCTGAGATTTCTTTTTTTCTGATGTCCAGTTGAAGCTGGATTCAAGCTGTGCAAGTCTGAGCTCAATTGGGAGCTTAATCCTGCTAAGATGGAAACCTCATGATTTTAGGCCCTTGTTATGAGCTTTATCGCTTAGAAGAATTAATTTGTTCCCATCCTGGTTTGGGCATTGTGGAGGGACAGCTCTGCCTCCTTGTGCTGGAGGAAAAACCAGTGGTGGGGGTAAGGAAGTACTGGTAGGATCACACGTGTGCAGCAGCCAAAATGACGACCTGAATTGTCTTGGGAGCTGGAGAAGGAGAGGCAGCTTTCGAGGCTAGGAGAGGGGCGGTGGCACCGACTGCCAGGGCGAGGGCTGTAGGGTGTGCAGCCACGAGATGGCACTGGCTGTTCGCTGAAGTGCCTCCATTCCCTGTTTCTCTCCAAATGTTCCATGTGATCCCAGCCATGGTTGGATGTTCTCTGTGCCCTTAGGACTTGTGCATCTCTGGGTGACAAGCAGCTGGCGCTCTCTGGAGGTGTGCAGTCACAAAAAATGTGTCCCCCACCCTTGGGCAGAGGCACCCAGGGAGAAACTCTGATGCTGTTCCCATTCAGCAGGTCATAGCAAGACCTGAGGCATAGTCTCAATACTCAGATATTTTAAAAAAGAAAATCCCCGAGTATCCTTTTCTAATGCAGCGTGAATCTTGGCAGGCTTGCTCTTCTGCTCCCGTGACTACAGTGATGCCGCACTGGATCGTCACCTCCATTCCCTGCTGGCCATAGCCATCTTTGCTGGAGCCCTTTGTGCGTTCCTGGAAGTGTTCATCCGAGATCACTTCGTGCTGGAGTTCTTCAGGACCAGCTCCTTCCTCCTGCAGGGCTCTTGGTTCTGGCAGGTCAGTGCAGCTGCAGTGCTCCCATCTGAGCAGTGGGCTTGGGGCTGAGGAACAGAAGAGGGATGCTGCTGTGACCTTTAAGGAATGTCTGATGGAGTTAAAACTGTAGGTTAGTTGGAATGTTTTAGTACGTATCAGCAGGAGATAAGGCTTGACGCCAGAGCTGTGATCGTGGAGATACGAGTGCGTAAGGTGTGCAATAAGGACCCGCCTGCCTGGTCAATGGAAATTAGATGCCACAAAGGTGAGAGAGGATGATCGAGACTTTTTATTCTTTTTATTAGGCCCAAGTTTTTCCTTTCTTTATTCTAAGTAACTGGAAACATCTGCATGTGTAACCAGTTTAAATCCTCTCACGTAGTCGCCCAGCTCAGGACCTGTGTTTGGGTTTGGGGAGAAGGACAAAGAAACCCATAACCTTGTAATGGAGCGTTTGGGTTGGGAACCTTGGATGCTGTGCTGTACTGCAAGGCCTGAGAGTGAGGGACTTGTCTGCAGAGCATCCTTCTCCTCCTGAGATACCCCTGTGTCCTTGACAGTTTGGGGAGATAAGTGTTTTTTTGGGGGGGGGGGGGAGCTGCTGAGGGCAGTGGTCCAGGTGTCACTTGAGATTGTGGTGCCTCTGCTCCACAGTGGGCTGCAGCTGCTGGTCCCAAGTGGTAAAAATAGGGAAGGAAAAGTGAAGATGGTTATGATAAAGCTGAACGCGTGCTTGTGCCTAATATCTCTTCCTCCTGTGATCAGATTGGATTTGTGCTCTCCCCTCCATGGGGAGGACTGGGCTGGGATCAGACTGACCGTGGCAATTTCATGTTCCTCACCATGTGCTTCTGCTGGCACTACGCCGGCGCTCTCGCAGTCATGGCAGCCAACTCCGCCGCCTCTCGCTGGTACGTGGTGGGAGAAGGGCCCCCGGATGTTCCCAGTAGCGTGTGCGAGCCGTAACGGGCAAGAGCACTAGCTAGACTCCATGCTACCGCGGGAAATCTAGCATCCAGCCCACGGTAGGTTAAAGTGACTGGCTCAGCATCTGCAGAAGGTGCGGGCTTGGATGCACGCGATGGGGAAGACCGCTGTGCTACGGAGTAGCGGGCGCCGCTCCGCAGGGCTCCCGAGCGGCCTGGGGGTGAGCTTGGTGCCTGGGACCGGAGGTGTCAGCACCGGGTTACCTGAATGGCGTTCCTGTCTCTCCTGCAGCTGCAACGAATCCTGCCAGCTGAAATTTGGGGACATCGACGTTGAGCTCGACTGTGGAATGTGCATCCGCAAAGGCAAGAGCTCCAGCGGCGCCCTGCTGCCGGAGAGCGGCTCAGATGACAAGTGAGGCCGCGGCAAGTGTCCCTGCTCCGCTGGAAACTTCTTCCCGTCGTTTTGAAGCTCTTAGGATGAGGTTTTTAATTTGTCTTGTTAAACGAAGCTGACGCTTGATAATGGAGCATCAGAAGTGGGAGGCAGGACCCAGAAGGCACAGCGGGCGCAGCACTGAGGTGTAAGGACTCGGTTTCCCTTCCTGCACGCTCCCTTATGTCCATTTGATGGTACAAAGCGGGCTCCATGTGCCAAGCAGGCTCCTGGGAGAGAGAGCTTTTTAACTTTCTGTGCCGCGCAGCTCAGGCTGTGAACGGCGCGACCAGTTTGCTGGTGGAGTCCGGCTGATTCGGCTGTTTCCGAACACGGCAGGACCTTCATTTCTGCTGCTGCACGTGACAGCCAAAGTGCCTCCTGAATTAGCCCCCAAAGCACGCTCCCTGTAGCTGTCACTCACACTGGTGTTAATGGAGGGGGTTTTTGCACAAAGCTTAAAGCGCACAGAGTATATGTGATCACGAATAAAGTACTTTAACGAATCATCTTGATTGACGTCCTGAGTATGATGTCTTAAGATAGAAAACTGGGGACAGGTGATGCCCGGGTTCAAAACTGTTTGGGGCTGTGGGGGTCGCTGTGTGTGACTTAACGTGACCAAAGCTGCCTGGAGAAACGGACTGCCTTTCTCGCAGGGTGGAAAGGATGGGAGGTTTCGCTTGTGAGCAGTGGGAAGCAGCCGCTCTCCTGCGTGTTTGTAGTCAGCGGCTGAGCGGATGAACCAGACGCGTGAGGCAGACTCTGCAGTGGCTTCTGGCACAGCTGGGAGATGGGGTGTTTGCCTGGCGGGGTTGAGCGTGGAGGCAAGCATCCAGTAAGTTACTTTGCTTTGCTCAATGTTGCGGCTCTGCCAGCCGTAACGTGAACTTGGAAGGAGATCCTTGAGGCGAGGTGACAGCTTCAGTAGACCTGGGTTGGACGTACATACGCAGATGCTTCTGGTAAGTCTCCGAGAACTGGACTGTAGAGCAAGCTCAGCTCTGGTATGGCTTCTCTTTTCCGGTGATAAATTTATGTCCTCCCCAGAGTTGACCACTTCCAGAGCAGAGACAGAAACAAAACCTTTCACTTCTTGGTGTCCGCTCTGCACTTGATGTCTGCAGTTTGTTTTTCCTTGGTGCTTCATTTAGTTTAGTCTTCTCGCTTGTTTTGCAGCTGTGTAGCACAGGGAGATGCTTCTTGCCGTCAAGATCAAAACCCACTTCAGAGGATGTCATTAAATGGAATCGATGGAAGAACAGCAAGTTCATCAGAAAGCAGAGGCGTTTCAAGACACTCGTGCTTTGTGCCTTGCCAAGGGCAGGGCTAGCTGAACGGGGAGCAAGAATAGCGTGGTTATTATGTTTTAATACCTTTGTTGCACTCCTTCCCAAAAGTATGCAGTGACAGGTTAGTCTAAACACTTCTCAGCTGGTCTGCACAACTCCCAAAAACTCAAGCAAGTGCTGGGAGGAAAGAAAAATCTGCCTTGGCTCAAAGCGGTTGCCATTCCCAGCCCCGCAAGAGGGTCTCAGCTAGGGTGGGTGCTTCAGATTTTCTCCCTTTGGAGCAGGGGTGGTGCAAGACCCACGTTTTGTGCTGGTGGCCGTTGTTCCTGCCAAGAAAGGATCTGGAGGAGCACGGAAATGAAGGTGAGTGTGGCGTTTTGAGCTCTGATGTTTGAGGCTGTTATTGTCTCCTTGGTGCCTTCCTTGGGCTGGGCTGATGGGAGTCTGTGGCTGGCAGGTTGAAGAGTAGGCAACTTTGTTTTGCAGTCCCAAAGGTACAGCTGGGACAGGCAGGGGCCTGAGGGGTGGCTGTGTGTCCGAGCTGGTAGTACTTACAAACGCTGAGTCCAGCTAGCGACACTTCCCAGCAATGATTTCTCTAGGCAATCTGATGTGGAGGATGGTCTTTAGCTAGTGATGATGGGGATCTTCTGCACAAGAGCAAGAGTTTCCAGTGTGTTACGTGGAGGTGAGGTGCTCTGGTTATTAATAGTCCTCCTCGGACTAGAAGCAGGGTCTTCTGGTCCACCTGTTATAGACTAGCTGCATTAGTGGGAAGCTTAAGACATAGGTTGTAACCCTATGTACTATGCTTTCATTGAAAAGCAACTGGAAAAAAATCTCTTTACCCTTTGATTAGCTAGTGCTACTTTATTTTTTCCTTTCTTTCCCTCCCTTAGTACTATCTAAGTAATGCTAAATCCCTCTCTTACTGAGGTTTTTGCTATTTGAAATTTAGGTCTTTGTTGGTGGGCACGTTTGTTTCTTCTTTCCTTGAAAAATGCCTTCAGAGCAAATACTTGCTGATCCTCTTGACTGTATGTCCTAATAAACTTAGGATCGGAGACTACGAGTATAAAGAGAGAGCGCAAGGGCGCTCTCTTTCTGAGCCTGACTTCGTGACTCAGGATTTATTCTCTACGCCTGCTTGTTTAAGAAGCTTTCTGCCGATGAGTTGTTATCGTTTTATGGGGGGGGGGAGAGGGGAAGTTTGAGTCTTTGTGCGGTTCTTACAGCCTTTCTGTGCTTTCAGCCTCAGGACCCAAGCAAGGCTGCGGCTGTGAGGTCTTTGCCAGGATGCGCCGTTCCTGGGTCGGTTTTTACGGTCTGTGACTGCCGGCGGGCCATGATCTGCTCCTGGAAGTACCTTGGCCAGAAGGAGAAGTCACCTCTCCCTGCTGATCTGCACGTTAGCAACCTGCTAACGTTTAACTAAACGGTACCCCCGAGCTGGGAACTGAGGTAACGCTTGCCTGCGTTTTATGGCTGTTTCCTGTCTATTAGCATGCAAAGGCTAAGGCCAGTATTTTAAATGGCAAATATTCTCTGCTGTACAATTAAGCTAGGGAATTTATCGAGCTACCCGGAGGCACGCGTGCATGCTGAAGCGTTTGGAAGGGACAGAGAACCGTCTGCTGCCAAATTAACATTGGTATGTGGTTAAGGGTTCCCCCTCTGGAGGGGGGAGATAATATATATTTTTTTTCCCCTTTGCACAAGTTTTCTGCTGCTGGCAAATGTCGGGTACGGGCTTTTCGCCTGCGTGAACCTGAGGAACTGGCCACGGAAGACATTCAGGAGAACGGCTGCTGAAGGCAGGGTGTGTTTTAGGATACGCTGTCACCGCAGCCGGAGCGATGGAGGACAAGCTGGGTGAGACCATATGGAAAGGTGCTGCCATGGGGCAGTCGAAGTGCTCCGTAAACTCCGAGCACCTGGCAGGCTTAGGCAGAACTCTTTATTGTTATTACCGAGAGACTGCGGGAGACTCGTGCTAAAGGAAGAGTTGAAATTTGCACTTAAAGCACCACTAAAATCTACTCTGTTTAATTAGAGAATTTAGTTTCCAGACTTGGTGTAATTGCTGTTCGGAGGACAAATGGATTTTCTAGGCCGCTCTTCTCTTCTAGAACAGGCGTCATTTTAAAACTGAACGCATTTCTTGCCTTTTAACTCAAGTGAGCTAAACAATAATAGAAACCCATACGTGCTTACATCAGGTGTGACTTGCATACCCTTACAGCTGTGCACGATTTAAATCTCATCTAACACTCGTCTGCAGGCTACGTATGCTAATAATAGCCTGTAATTAATTAGCAAGGTAGCGTTTGGTCTGTGCGCTGACTTGGCTCTAACTCTGCTGGCTGCTCGCGTGTGGCCCTACCACCAAGGGGGTCGCCCCCCCGCTGTGGCTGTGCTAGTGGTGAGTTGGGTTGACGTGCACGAGGTGTGACTGATCACGGGCCGCGGGGTGGCAGGGCTTGAGCGCTTTAGATTTGGGAGCCCGGAGGAGAACAGGCTGGACGTAAAAGGAACCGATGGGCGGCTTTCTGCAGCGCTCGGGGCATTGCCCTGTCCCCTGCAGGCAGGGCTTGTGCTGTGCTGACCGTGCAAAGGGCCGAGCTGGGGCCGGTGGCAACACGACGGTCACCAGCGCGTGCTGCTGGCGCTCGGCGGCCGTTCTCGCTGCTGTCAACGGCTCTGTTCGCTGGTACCTTCTGAAGGCGGGCACAGGTCTGCGCGTGTGTTCGCGTGGCGGTTGCCAACCAACTTTACGCCCTTAACTACCATCGGAGTGACTTTAGGTTGACAGAAGACCTCCTAAAGCGAGTGGTTCAGCATACGCCTCCAGGCGAGCGGGGCCCTTGCCAAGGGAGGTGAAGGAGAGGCGTAAGGCAGGAAGGAAAATGCAGAGGGACCGGGACAGAGTAGAGCGTTGATAAGACTTAGGGCAAGCGGCACAGAAATACTTGGCCGTTTTCACAGCTGCCGAATGCTAGGTGCGTGCTACCTGCCGTCTTGCCTGAGCCAGCCACCGCGATGCCTTGTAACTAGCTCTTTGGGGATGCCGGCATCTGGGCGTGCAAGAGTTAAATCCTAGCAGTACCGTTTCTTTGAAACGGCACCTGCACTAACAATTTGCGTTCCAGCTGCCTGAAGAGGAACTTGAGAGGAAGAGAGATGGAGATGGAGGCTGAAAACCTGAGGGCGGACACAAGCATCTGCTCTGCCCTCCCCAACGGCTCAGATGAACAACGTGCACGAGGCATCTCCGCTGCTGGCCCTTCCTCGAGAAACGGGAGGTATTTTCAAAGCGTTGTGGGTTGGGCGCGACTGTGCAGGCGCTGTTTTAGTGGGCGGAAGGCTGATATCCCTGCTAGGACGGGCCGAGGGTCAGGAGGTGGGAGACCTGCCTCGTTAATTATATTAGAGCCATTCAGGTGGAGTGTAAATCCTTCGCTCCGTTAACGAAGAAACTGAGTATTTGGCTGCAAAAAGAAAAGGGTGCACGTTTTCCTGGTGACACCAAATACCGCTTTTTCTGGGCTGCTCTTCGTTCGCTGGAGCTACTCGCGCAGTTTGCTTTCCGGAAGACTGTCCGTTGGTTTTGGTGTTGGCACTGTGGAAGTGGTCTCCGATGGGGGGGCTCCGTGCCTGGCTGCCAGGGCTGCTCGAAGCTTAGCTGGGAGCGCTTGGCGTACCAACGTTTTGGCCGATCTGTTATGATCAGTGCAGGCGCTCTCTCCGGGGTTCCCTTTCTGCAAAGGGCCGGCTGCCCTGCTCTAGGCCAGCTGAAGATATGATCATGTAATGCTGCTAGAGGTGATGCAGTCTGCTCACGGCCTTAAAACTGGGCCTTGTGCTTCAGCGTTTTACTGGATCAGGCTAAAGTGCTTAGCACCATAGCAGGTTGAATTCCTCATTAATGAGTGTTCATCAGCAGAGCGCTCTGTTTTGGACTACATCTGGATGGTGTTGCTAAAGTGCTCGGTGAAAAGCTGGGGAGAAGGATATTCTTGCTGTGATACGCTCTGGCTGTTCTGCTGGTGGGCAGCTCTCGGTTTCGGCAGGAATTACAGCATAGACGAGAAACCAGCCGCTACTTGTTAATGCACGGGTACAAAAATCCATGGGACCTGAGGCAAACGAACGCTGAATGCACGTATTTAACAG